CAAGGGCCACAATGGGTTCTTAAACTGGACCGGAGGGCCGGTAGGAATATCTTTCTAGAGTTGGAACTCAAAACAATTGTCATGTAAATGATATAATAAGTAAGCTCTTAAAGTGAATACAATACAATAATGTTTGTTTTTGTGTATTATTATATTTTGGTTATTGTATTATTTTTATTTATTTCCCCCCCCAAAAAAGATAGTACAGTACTTTCTATATTTTTCTATTTTTTAATCTACTGGTTATGGCTGAAAAAGGTCAGGGGCATTGAAATTTTATGCAGTTTTGTTGATCTTGAGAGAGAATCTGACATCTGGATAGTGAAGTTGAAAATCAAATGGGCATTTTCTGTATAGTTCTCTGGTCTTCTCCAATTTGTTTAATTTTTTTGGTTAGCAGAAAAATAGATGTAATTCTTGTCCCATTGTTTGCAGCTCAAGTGGCACAAGGAATGCAACAGAACTCTGTCCATATAAGGAGTTATAATACCTTATAATACTTTATCTCTATATAGAAAGGCCTAAGCAACCATTATGACTGGACGACTGGGATGCAACAGAACTCTGTCCATATAAGGAGTAATAATACCTTATAATACTTTATCTCTATACAGAAAAGCCTAAGCAACCATTATGACTGGACGACTGGATGACAGGCCGGTAGTTATGACTCACTCTGACCACCAGGGGACAGACACTCAATGCAGGAGTTGCCCCCTCATGGTCAGTGCACTCCCACAGCCAACCTCCTGTGGTCCCTCCTCTCCTGGCCAGCCAACCTCCCACAGTCCCTCCCCCAAGTCAGCTGGCCCCGATCAGCCCGATTGCCGGCCAGGCCGAGGGGCCCCACTCATACATGAATCCATGCACCGGGCCTCTAGTACATCTTTAATAATAAAAGCATAGTCAACTGAACAGCCATCCAGACATCCTTCTGGATGACCTTCTGGACAACCTTCTAGACGACCTTCCAGATGAAGCCGGGGCTGCAACTGTGGGATCAAGGCAGCCGCCCCAGCTGCGAGGGAGAAATCAAGGCAGCTGCTGCGGCTGCAAAGGCCTACTCTTGCACGAATTTCATACATCGGGCCTCTAATCATAAAATGAAAGGTGTTATTATTAATATTAGCTGTCATGGCAAGCAATTGTATAAATGACATTTCTTTTAAATTCCTTTTTTATTTAAATGATTATTTTTGTGAGGACATGAGTTGATGTCTAATTTTGGGCTTATAGTTAGCCTAGTTAAATATTATGTTGGAAAGATTAGTTTGCCCTTGATGTAGAAATATTAAGTGACCTGGACATTGTGCTTACCCTGTCCTTGCAGAAACATAATGACTGCTACACTGGGGCAGAGGGCATTCCAGGAAAAGCAACTGACAATGTATTCTTTTTTTCTCCAGGGACCTCAGAGTCTAATGAATACTTGTTCAGATTATTCCAGGGATGAGAGAGAAAATGGGCTTCTACTAAATTCATTTTAAACTTGGTCATACCTAATATTTAGAATATGGAATCAGCTGAAATATGGAAAAAAGAGCCCAGGACTTGCAGAAAGATGCTCTTGGTTCAAGTTACGTGGTTGCTACTAACTAGCCACGTGACCATGGGTTTGTCACTTAAGTCTTTGAGTCTTGATTTTCCTCTATAAAATAGTGTTACTAATACTGATGTTAGCAAGGCTGGTTGTGGTATCGAAGAAGAGGACAAAAGATAATCTTTGGTAAACATAAGATGCTACATAGACATCATCATCATCATTGTTAAAAGTATTTATTGAGTGCTTTCTATGTTCTTTGCATATGTTAACTCATTTGATTCTTATAATTAACTCAATAATATAAATACAATTATTACCTCAACTTTCTTGAAGACAAAACAAAGGCCTCTAGAGATTCAAAAACTTGTTCATTGTTATGTATTAAACTGACTTCAAAGCCTGCAGCATCTTTATTCTTGGAATGGTGATAATCTAATCATCTAAAAGAGTTTCAGAATTTCCAAAACTTAATCTGTAACCCACTGTGAATTGAGAACTAATAAGAAAAACATTTTTAATGGAGCAATACTTTTTCTGTATTCTCTTTCCACTTTCTCATTTAAAATGTTTGGACTTTATTAATGTTAAGATGATAGTCAAATAAACTTAAAAGTAGCTAGGTACAATCCAGCATCTACTGCAAAGAAAATTTCTATTTCTTCACAGACATTGTGTTAGAGAGAACAGTGTTCTAAACTTGATATATGTGGAATTCAGACATGCAGGAGCTTGGAGGAAGACAGGGCTAGGTATTTGCATTTGAGAGTTGTCTCAAAATGATAACTGAAGTCAGAATAGTGAATGAAAGGGGAAAGAGCCAATATTGACATTTGATGAATATCTGTTTATAGAATAGAGAGAAAGAAGAGGAACTCGCAATGGAAAGACAAAATGAACTGTAAGGGAAAAGGTGAGGAAATAGTGAATCTAGAGAGTCTAGTACGTATCATCGAATCCATGAGAAAGTAACTCTGGGGAGGGAAGAAGAGTGTCTCTCTACCCCCTTCTTCTTATCCCTTACATCCCCCCCCTAATTAATATGCAGCTGTGGACAGTTTTAATCTCTTTAAATTTTATTTTTTCCTTGATAACAATGATGGGACTTAGCTCACAGGTTGGTTTCTAGGGGGATATATGTTCTCAGAAGGCGACAGGTTTTGAGATGTTGTTTTGACCCAAAGTGGGAAATAAGCAGATAAGTGAATTTTGTCAAGGATGATATGGAATAGAAAGCATTCACACAAAACACTCATTGATGCATATTTTCCACGAGGCCACACAGCCCAGAGGCCGTGTTTCACTAGCTACATATACGTTCATAGTGCAGTTCTTCAATACCCGTTACTAGGATCCTGGGATGAGAAAGATATCAGATGTGCTCCAGAAACAAATCCCTTAGCTGAACTTGGCAATGGTTAGATTGACCTCAGAATATTATGTTCCATTTAGTTTGCAAAGGGAATCAAAAGAAACTTGAAGGAGATAAAAGCAAGGAGAAACCTCACCATGCAACGTTCCTTGTTCTGTGTGCTCACTGTGCAGCGTGGTCGGCTCTGGAGCAAGGCAGTCCTAGTGCAGCGCCCCCTGCCTGCGGTGCACACATCCTGCACCTCGCCCAGCCTCAGGCAACCTCCTATTCCTCCAGGGGAAAGTAATGCCTACCTCCTTTATCAAGCACCTAGTACTGTCCATGCACATAAATTGTCCCTCAAAAATTGAAATTATTATAACTCCATTTATGATTTTAAAATTCTAACTGCTTTCTGCCCAGATGTGGAGATAAGGAGAATTCATTTCTTCTTAAGATCACATTGCCCTACCCGACAGCTAGGGGTACCCCATATATCTTGCAATAAAGATCTCACATTAAAAGGCCGTTGACCTTTTCTGCAGGAGCCATGATTAAGTGACATGACGATGATCAGAATCCCAGGGGACAGTCCTATGAAATACCCAGAGAAGCACATTCAGCCTCATTTGGTTTTATGACTTCCAACTGGTTCCTAGAATTTTAATCCTAATGCTTTTCTAGGAAATTTGCAGGACTGCTGAAATATATAGTTCTGAGAAAGTTCCACAGTCAGCATTGGGAAATCATTGGTGCTCAGTCAGGAGAAAATCCACAGTGTAGCATGTGGAAGCTCAGGGCTGCTTGTGTCTCTGTGGGAGCAGAGGAAGCAGTGAGCTGAACAGCTGTGAGCTCACTGCCTTCTCGGTGGGAGAATGCTAGGGACACTCCCGGGTGGATAGAGGCTCAGTGGTCATGACTGTGAACCCCATCTGCACCCTGGCTTCTCTTTCAGCGGGGACAGGCATAGGCACACCATGGTGAAGCAGACAGTTCCAGCCCAGGCCTCGAGGAGCTCACAGTCTAGTGGCAGAACTGATGAAGGCAGTTAGCGTCGGCTCCTCTCCTATCCCCCTGTGGTTGAGCCTTTTAGGGTCTGGCCCTGGTGCCCCTCTGGAGATGAAGTGCTCCCCAAGTGTCCCCAGAGGCAATCCTTCCAGGATTCACACGCAGACTTGAGATCATCTAAAACCTGAGTGAGACCACTGGCTGGGTTTAAACTGCTCCTTTACATCCCCTGTGAGCAGGTGGGCTCCAGTGCCCTTTGAGAATAGCCCCTGCCTGCCCAGGCTTTCAGAGAATCTACCTAGATAGGGTGGGTTCACTACACTGGCCTCAGTGAGACAATTTCAGAATAAAGATATTTCCAACAGACATTATACGCCGCTGGTTTTGAGCCCTAGATCCTCATTTACTAATCAATCTTCATCTGTCCGGTAAAAACAATAACCGTACCTCTCTCATTGGGATAGTAGCAAACATCGCAGGAGTTAGTACATGTGAAGATGGAGCATCCTGCCTGGCACATTGCATGGGCTCATTGCATGTTAGCCCTTTTTATTCCTGTTCACCCTAGCAGATGGTTTCTGTGTTACCCACATTCTGTAAGACACTTTGTCCAGATGCAGGAAATGTTTCAGTAGCTATTGGAGGACACGTCAGAAACGCCAGAAATGTCCACCATTCCTTGGGTACATTCTTCCATTTTCTCCCTGTGTAGCTTAGGGTAGTAGCCTGGACCCTGGGTCACTAAGTTACTTGACAACAAGCACATCCGTGCTTCCCGACTCACAAGCACAGCGAGACCCCAAACCTCAGAGAGGATTCACTGGAGCATTTCCCAGGAGGTGACCTGTTTCATCTCGTCTACTCATTTGGTGGAAGCAGTCAGAAGCATTTGGGTGAGCTTCAATAGGAAATGATTCTAAAACCCTGTCTCACATTAAATCAGGGCAGGAAAAGCAGTGTCTTCGCTACTGAGGGGAGGAAACTACAGAAGCCAATGGGGCCTCAGGGGAGGGGGAAACAGTGTGTGATTCAAGAAAACAGTGAGACAGACAGAGGGGCTGTGGAGAGGGCTCTGCCACGCACGGGACACTGCTTACATACCAGTTCCTTCTTCTTCATGCACTCCATGAGGACGATGAACAGATGCTGCGCTTGTGTTCGAGTGTACGTGAAGGTCTTCTGGATGGTCACCAGCAGCTGGTCCCGCAAAGATTCATTGATAAGTCTGCAATGAAAACCAGCGCCCAAACAGGTGAACCCAGCTCCTATTCAGTATATATCGCTGAGAGACATTACAGAACGTAGGAAAGCATTATGACAACTTCCTTTCGAGAGGAGTTTCCTCTTCCGGTATGCTTCTCACAACAGTTATGTATTTCTTTATTTATTTTTAAATATATTTTATTGATTTTTTACAGAGAGGAAGGGAGAGGGATAGAGAGTTAGAAATATCGATGAGAGAGAAACATCAATCAGCTGCCTCCTGCACACTCCCTACTGGGGATGTGCTTGCAACCAAGGTACATGCCCTTGACTGGAATCGATCCTGGGACCCTTGAGTCCGCAGGCTGACGCTCTATCCACTAAGCCAAACTGGTTAGGGCTCACAACAGTTATTTTGAATGGGATAACTAAAAGAAAACCCACCATGCATTTAAAAACAAATTCATTTTAATGTCTCAGAACCTAAAAGAGCAAAGTATCAGAAGATTTAGTTCTTCTTTCTTTTATATGGCATGTGTTTAATACCCTCATCCTCAAGTGTTGTAATAAAAAATGTTTTCAATCAATCATTAGCATCTTCGTAAAATTTTGCTGTATTGCTTATCTAAACATTTAAATTTTAACTTCATCTCTAATTGTGAAAAAAATGTCATATCTCAGTAATGGTTTTTTTGAGCATCAATCAGGATAAACAGAACTTACTTAAAAAAAATTTATTTCATGTAGGCGGTAGCTTATCTGGCCTATGATTCACATCATCATTATGTTGAGATTTTGCTGTGTTATAGTCAACAAGGGCCTGACCCATACGGAGTATTATATTGACCACTTTATTAAAAGACAGTTTTTATACTATAGGAGAATTAATGCAAGCAGGAGGTGCATCATATCCAATCAATCCTCCATGATCTCTTAAACATGGAGCAATCATAACTAACTTTAACTCCTCTTACTAGCCTGATGAGAACTGGGCTAGTTCTACCAGCGATCAAATGGCAGGGAATAAAAATTCACTTTATTGTTAACAGATACTGTCCAAAATAAGGAAGATGAAACTGTTCTTAAGACCAGTGACAAAATAACCATAATTTGCCTAGCATTTTAAAGTTTACAACTTTTTATCACTGAAGTATCAGCAATTCCTACGTACGATAGTAAAATATAATTATCTCATTTGATGCTTACAAGAACCCTATAGCCAAAATATTTATACAATTTAAAAGGGAAGGACATTTTATTCACAGAGAGCCAGATGCTTAAGGTCACTCAGCAAATACATGGCAGAGCCAGAACCAGAACCGAGGTTTCTGAATCCTTGTCTAGTGCTCTTTCCACAACACCACATTGCCTTTAACATTTTTTTATTTTGGAGACAGAGAAAGAGAGAGGAAAAGAAACATCAATTGGCTGCCTCCTGCACATCCCCTACTGGTGATTGAGCCCACAACCCGGGCATGTGCTCTGACAGGGAATCAAACTGGCGACTTTTTGGTGCAAGGGATGACACTCAACCAACTGAGCCACACCGGCCAGGGCAACCACACACTGCCTTTTATTACATCAAGCGCCCTACACCACTGCCTCTCTTTGTCACAGTGGCTACTTGAACAGGAAATGATGAAATTTCCTTTAACATAAAAGCATGACAAATGGTGTTGCTTAAAAGCAAGCATGATGGGAAGCTTGAGAGTATCTTCATATCAACGGCCTGCTCTGCTCCAATATTGTGTGAGGATTTACCTGGGCCCTGTAGGTTGGATAGTATGAGGGCCCATCTTTGAGGAGGCTGCATTCCTCATGATGAAACTATACCAAGGATCCTGAATGTCACTCAGCTCCGTAGTGGAATGGGTTACTCCTCTGCCCCTCGGAAGATTTATATCATGAACATATACATTTAGGAAAAGAGGATGGTCCCGATAAGGTTGAAAAGGGATACTAGATCCTCTGAAGTTTACTATGTTGGAAGACACTGTGGCCTTAGGTGTTGACCAGTCTGAAACCATTTATTCATTCATTCAACAATTGCTTAGTAATGGCTATTTAGTGCCAGACACTGTGGTGCATGCAGGGCTACAGGGACAGATGATATATATACACTTCCAGCCTTCACACCAGTGGAGAAGAAAGACATGAATCAGCAATTCAACTGTGACTGACAGAGGTAAAAAGAAGCTGCTTGTGACAGTTGAATCTAATCTAATCTGGAGGGTTCAAGGAAGATTCCTCTGAGGAAGTGCTGCTTTATCTGAGACTTGAGGAATGAATGAGCATTAGCGTGATCATGGGGTCTGGGCAAGAGCATTCTTGGCAGACAAAAGAGCATGAACAGGCCTAGTTTAGAGAAAATAAAAGGTCAGTATTCCTGGAGCATAGAGAGCAAAAGAAAAGGTGGAACAGGATGGAGCTGCAGAGGGGATGAGCAAAGGCAAGATAACAGGGAACTTTGGACATAGTGTTAGAGAGCTCAGATTTTATTTCCCGGCAATTGGAAGCCATTGAAGGATTTAAGTTGGAAAGTGATATAATTACATTTGTGTTGCCAATTACTTTTCTTAAGGAGTCAGGTCCTGAGCACTTATACCTGGGCATGTGTCTACTTGACAAATAACCCATGTGGAAGGGTCTAGAGCAGTGGTCGGCAAACTCATTAGTCAACAGAGCCAAATATCAACAGTACAACGATTGAAATTTCTTTTGAGAGCCAAATTTTTTAAACTTAAACTATATAGGTAGGTACATTGTTATTAACTTAATTAGGGTACTCCTAAGGCTTAGGAAGAGCCACACTCAAGGGGCCAAAGAGCCGCATGTGGCTCGCAAGCCGCAGTTTGCCGACCACTGGTAGAGAATTCTGCAATATCAAATGTACATAGATGTTGTACACAATTAACACAGAAGAAACTCTCCTGATTAGTCACTTGATAGATCCAATCATTCATCTGCAGGTGTTTAATTTTGAGAACTCAAAATTTGTTTCCCATTGCTAACCATCTGCAATAAATCCCAGCTCCCTGAGGTCATTATCTGTCTGAGGGATCTGTTACTTGTATCCAGCCTGTCATTTTGTAAATATTGAGGCATAACGTACAGCTAAGCTGATTGTGTGTTTCAGTGGTTAGGAGATAATAAAGACACTAAGAATCTTATACTTTTAGTCCAGTTTGCAGCCGACTAAAGCTGTGGTTTTGCATAAATGACTTAGCAATAATAACATGGAATTCTATTTTTTGAAGTAGAAGAATTCTATCGGTTGGTTGTTTTCCAAAGTGTGGGATGCCTATTAATGATGGAGCAGAGATGGTTTTAGGTGAAACAAAGTTGATTTGGTCCTTATAAAGCACCTAGATGCTCATTAAACATTAAATAACTGCTATTCCTGATTTAGTTCTTTTTCCATCATCCTGATTGCATCAAGAGGAAAATCTCATTTTTGAAGCTTCTTTGCCTTTAACAACTTCTCACCACTTGCAAATCTCCCACTTTTGACAAAGAAACAGCAGATATTAGGTCTCATTCCTTTGATCTAAAGAGTTTAATAACATGGTTTTGAAAAAGATCCTGTATAACATTTGACATGTTCACAGCACATCATGGTGTATGACACAGTGGGCTACAGTGATAATCTCTTTTTATCTTCATAAAAACCTGTGTCAACAGGTTTTCCATTTTTCAGAAGAGGAAACTGTGGCTCAAGAGGTTAAATGATTTGTACAAAATCACATAGCTTGGTCATCTCAGATGCTTGAAGTCAAGTCTACCGATTTCAGCCTTCCCTCCATGGTGCTGCTTTTCCTGATTGGAACCCATCAATATGTCTTTCAGTTTCCTAATAATCTGCATTGAGGGTAAAAATGTAAGTGTATTTGTTGTAGGAAATTGGTTTTCCTTTTGCGATAAAGAGAACATTTGAAGAAAAGCAGGTGCAGTTGGAGGAGATAAGCAAATGACTGGTAAGTGAGGATGATGGAAAGGGCATTTAGTATGTTGACGATTACATTTGCTTCTAATTTCACAAGTGTTTGCTGTGCTGAACCAATGTCTTATGTTTGGCACAAAGGCTTCTTGTCTTCCCCAAGAGCCCTTTCTTATTTTGTGGCCATATTCTGTAGGATATTGAGAAGCCTGCTTTCTTGAAATTATTGCTTTCCTAGCCTTTTCCATTTTTATCTCCCACCCGCCCCCCTGCAAACAGTGGAATGATTTAAAAATCTGGACTGTGATATTTAATAGTCAGCACAAATAGAAATAAGCCCATTTTAGATTTCTTTTTATGGCTTTAAAATAGTGATTGGAAGTTTCTTGACATCAAAACATGGTTATAGTGTTATGTAAAATTTTTAGTTCTAGAACTGGGTCTTTGACAAAGGGTTGCCTATTTATGGAAGCTGTTAATCTGAGACTCCACACACCAATGCTATCTTTGGCATACCTAAAATTGGAAGGTTTTCTGATTTAAAAAGTGTAGTCATTGAAGTGAGGGAAATCTTTATACTATGGCATTTATGTTTCCATGTAAATGCTGTACTTGTGACCTGGAGCTTTTTAGATGAATTGCAGAGTTATTTGAAATAGGTCAAGGTTCATCCAATGCTCAGAGGAACCAACAAAACTTCCCACTGCTTGCTATTAGTATTCTGTTCGAATGTAATACCACCCGCATATACACACTTTTCTCAGAATGAATTTAATTACCTGCAATGACAGTTTTGTTCCTAGATTAAAAAATTAGAAAATGCATTTAAAATTCAATGGGACTCAAAGAGCTAGACTTAGGTTAATGGCTTTTGAGGAGAGAAGCCCTTCTAATGCCCTCCATAAACACCTTCTATTAATTTATTCAGATACAATATGATAAAATTTTATTTATGTAGATAAAATAGATTGATAATATCAACCTGGTATTTAAAAGACATCATTTCCCATGGAATTTCAAATACTCTAAAGAAAAATGAAATTTTATTATTTTCTCGAAGTCAAAGCAAATTACTAAATGTA